GAGCAGGGGCTCGGTCAGAAACTCACTGTAACTGTCACTTCCCCATCAGTCATATGACAATAATACCTACACATCGCTTACTGTCCAGCTACAGACCTAGGACCCAGTCCAGTCTTGGACTCTGCCTTGAAGACAGAGTAATACCTCCTTGCAGAATAGCTAGAGTTCAGCATTCCCTCCCTGTAGTCTAGCACTAACTGCTGATTGGTGGGGGGAAACTGGCCAATTAGAATGAAACCTACATTCCAGTTTAGCCCAGAATTAACCTAAATATTTAATAGGATTAGCCAGAAGCTTTGGACTGAAACAAAATAACACTGGCTTCCAGTGACCCTTGCTGAACAAACGCAAAGCCAGAAAGCTCTGCTGATGTTGTCCTAGGTTTTGTGGGTTGGCTGTTTAATTGGAGTGATGCTTTACCCCAATCTCATCCTTCCTGTGGGTTACTTATGTCCTTTTAAAGAGACATCAGTCCTTGTTGAGCGAGCAACTCAAAAGCACTTTAAACTATGCTAAGAGGCTAGTTTTTCACATTCTCCCCAGAAGCTATCCTTATTTTGGAAAGGAAGGAACAGATCTCTGAGACGTGGATATCTTCCCCTTTAAATATCAGTCACTCAACCAAGCTATGCCTTTCTAGGATGAAATAAGAGAAATGAACTCAATCCCTCCAGCTCTCTTCTGAACTCCCTTCACTTTGTCTACATCTGTCTGGAGTAGAACCCAGAAAGCACTGCTCTAGAGCCAAAATGCTTCTGAAATAAATGTAGTCAAACTTCACTAATTCTGGGTCACTGAGAACGAAAATGATGCTTAAAATTGTTGATTGGCTCTAGTTTTCAAGATATGCTATTGGGTCAGTATATACGACCCTTGACTTGGGAATGGCGGAGGATAAGTGAGTTATAAAGGGAAGGGATCTCAAATTAAACCAGAAATGACTAAAACACATCTTTGACTGGATCTATGAATAAATCTGACTGGGTTTGGACAGTACTTGCTTTTTAGGCAAAACAATGAATGATGCAATCTGAAGCTGG